ACAGCCTCCAGATCAGGCTACAGTTGAGCAAACCTGCCACTTCGTACAGCGCCTTCATGACGAGTCCAGTTGAGAACATCAGTCACCTCGTTCCAGTGCTTTTGAGCCCCAAATACTAACCAGGACAACTACGTTAGACTCTTTAGTAAGTTACTAGTAAGAGGAGGATGTAGACTCCTAAACCGTCTTCATAGTAAACCATTCCAAACGTACGCGAGTACCAGCCAAGCTCAGTGTGTAGCGTAGGAGTCGATCCTGTTCACTGTGTAAATATCTAACGGCATTTCAACACCGAGGTTTGCAACACAGACACTCGCTCTGTGCACAAACCGTTGCTTTTAACCTTGTGTGTCAGTCTCTCCACTGCTCTGTAGATACACAGGGATGTAGGCGATACAAAAAAGAAGTTAATATTGGGACGCACAATTAGAATTCCCATTTAAAAAAAAAAGAGAGAAAAAAGGATCCCAGTGACCTCGATGTTCGAGGTGTAGACGTTACATTGCGGTTCTGGTCTGTTGCCTTTGTCTTTGGACATGCGGATACTGAAATTAGTCTCAGAGATGGTTCGTAATGAGCCCCGCACTCATCCAGCTTTGCAGTTTAAAAGGTTACAGCCCTGTGAGGACTGCGTTTAGCATCACCGCTCATGAAAACAACTCCCAGCTATCTGCTAGCAGTAGCAGTGGTGTAGTCATATGTGATTGATTCGAGGATGAAGGCAGCACATCAGAACCGCGCTACCTGACCATCTGACAAACAGCGTATCAGGTGCTAGTAAGTGAAACCAGTCTAGGTCATTCAGAAAGACCACAGCTGAACATTTTGTATATCTCTTCGCCTGTCATGATGTTAGCCTTGTTGAAGTTTACATATTTGATTGCCTCCGCCGTCAGCAGACTGTTAAGCGATTTAAACTTTGTAACTCCCACACAGGTATGAAGAAGGAAGGGTAGCATTGGCAAGAGCCAGCTATCTCCCCCCCCCACCCCGAGTTACCCGGCTGGCCCGTGTGCGTATCTGTGTTTTTGTGCATCGTCATTGCCTCAATCGCTCATCTTAAATCGAGAATCTAGATGTTAGAGTTTGGAGAAATAAGTATATACCAGTGCCTTTTAGAGTGGGACTGTGGAGGGGGTATTAAGTGTAGGCAGTGGAGGTAAAAGAGGATAAGCAGTGGGGGGGAAGGGGCACAGATATAGCCAGAGTATTAAAGGGGACCTATTCTGGTGTTTTATCGTTACATTTAGTGATTATTAATGGAATTATTTCATAATTCCTACTTAACTCTCCCTCACTTCCTGCTGTGTGTGTGAAACTGCTGGTTTTAGCTCTCGGGACTTTCCCTGAACATCCATTCGATTCTGATTGGCTACCCCTGTCTTCTACAGACTAACATGGTGTTTGTAAGCCCCACCTCCTCCTCAAGAAAACTTGGGAGTGTTCAGAGCAGTCTCAATGTTTACGTAGGTGTGGACTCACACTTACGTAAACAATGGTCGTGTTTAAAACGAGCGTCTGTTATTGGGAGGAGGTGTAATAGGTCCCCTTTAAGGTGATGTAATAATGAAGGGAGCAGTTGGGGTGAAATGGGACTCTGTTTGAGTGGATGTGCCATACAAAGCCTTAGAGATGAGTTCTGAGCTCCACAGGTCGCCACCCCACCTGGCTTCTCCTGCCTCCCCTCCTGAAGCGTTGCCATAGAAACGCACCCTTTCAGTTTCCGGATGCCGATTCCTGCCACAGGAGAGAGAGGGAGCGAG